ATGTACATGGTCAAGCACGTGGGTTGGTGACCATGTTAAGGCTCGGCAAGAAATTTCGGATAATCCTTGTTAGTTTCTAGACACTACTTGTATACTCTCCCAATTCGTATATAAACTCCTATGATATGTGAGGAAAGTATTGAGCTCATCAGCTGAGGAAAGCGAATAGTTCACTAGAAGGAAGCGAACATATATTCCTCCAACACTGCTCTGCCCATAGCGTCACCTCCCGCGCGATCCTCTCAAGAAAACTCCGAGCTCCATCATAATCCTCAACCTGCATAGTCCCCTTGTTTTGACGCACCAGTTGGGTTACCACACTCACAGCTTCGGCCACTGTTTCCGGTGAGGACATCCTAACGATGAAGTCCACTACCCATGGCCCTGCCCTGCTAGCCTACACCTGAGGTATCGCCATCCCATGCAGTGTCCCCACTATCGTGCCCATAGCCCGCACTGTATATGGTGTCGTCGTCTTAGGGAAGTCAGCGACGGACCGACCAAGAGCGACAAGTGACTAAAGGCAGTCTTCAAGGTCAACCCAAGGCTAACGCGGTTGAGACCTGTACGGTAGAGATTCGAGAGGAGATGTCCTCAACCAACGAAGGCAGCGCCTGCAAGAACCTCCCTTGCTCCAGCTCAACATGGTGAAGGGCCTTTCCAATTCTGACAAGTGGGGCGCAGCATGTTCTTGTTGTTATCGTTGATGCCTCAGCCTGGTACTACCACAGTGGTAGCCTTGATATAGAGAGACATCGACCGCTGAACAACTTGAGTGTGTTAAAGAGTATCTTGGAATGGCATAGTTGCCTCACCTGGAGAACTTGAGTGTGTTAAAGAGTATCTTGAAGTGGCATAGTTGCCTCACCTGGACAACTTGAGTGTGTTAAAGAGTATCTTGAAGTGGCATAGTTGCCTCACCTGGACAACTTGAGTGTGTTAAAGAGTATCTTGAAGTGGCATAGTTGCCTCACCTGGAGAACTTGAGTGTGTTAAAGAGTATCTTGAAGTGGCATAGTTGCCTCACCTGGACAACTTGAGTGTGTTAAAGAGTATCTTGAAGTGGCATAGTTGCCTCACCTGGACAACTTGAGTGTGTTAAAGAGTATCTTGAAGTGGCATAGTTGCCTCACCTGGAGAACTTGAGTGTGTTAAAGAGTATCTTGAAGTGGCATAGTTGCCTCACCTGGACAACTTGAGTGTGTTAAAGAGTATCTTGAAGTGGCATAGTTGCCTCACCTGGACAACTTTAGCGTACTCAGGTGGGCCTCGGAGTAGCTTAACCCACGTGAAGAACTTGAGTGTAAAAAGGTGTGCTTCGGAGTGGCATAGTTGCCCCACGTCAAGAACTTGAGTGTACTAAAGGTCTGCCGCGGCGTGGCAAAGTTACCCCACGTGAAGAACTTAAGTGTATTAAGGTGTGCCTCGGGGTGGCATAGTTGCCCCATGTGAAGAACTTGAGTGTACTGGGGTGTGCCTCGCGGTGGCAAAGTGGCCCCAACTGGACAACTTGAGTGTATTGGGGTGTGCCTCGAGGTGGCATAGTGGCCCCAACTGGACAACTTGAGTGTATTGGGGTGTGCCTCGCGGTGGCATAGTGGCCCCAACTGGACAACTTGAGTGTATTGAATGGTACCCTGGAGTGGCGTAGTTCCATCACTCGAATATCAACAACCCAGAGGTACCAGGTTGATCTGATAAGAAGGTGGAGAACCCATTAGCTGCTAGTCGAAACAACCTCTATTCATCGAGGCATCACTATTAAGCCATCGAGAGGACTATGACCTAAGACTGCCCTCATTATACTACCATCTTATCACAGGATTCCTGTGGTCCAAGGAGCTTCCGATGTCTCCCTACAATCGCCTCTATGACGCCTCTAGGATTAGCAACATAGGGATGACAGTCTCTAGCGGAAGACCCCACGAACCCCAAAACTTGCACAGCTCATATGCGATCACAGAAACATATAATAACATGTTCGGAATCGAATCTATATCATCGAGCTCGATCTGGATCGTAGCCATATTTCAGAAGCCACCCTTCCCTCAGAGCTTGATTGAAGCCAAATCGACTCATCCGCGTGTATCTTTCGAGTTGATGTCGGTGCATGCAACACACACTGGAAAGACATACCTTTTCACTTCATTAGCATGACCAACTTGGATGTCTCTATTTCTGATCCTATTCTTACCCACCATCTTGTTGGCATCGATACGGCCGAATACCCCGAGATTCTCGTACACTACCTTGTAGACCCTGGTGTTCACCTGATGGCCAATTATCGCAATGAGGGTCAACTGGTTACCTCGGAATCCTTGAAGGCCAATCTGGCCATATGGTCTTTGAGGTTCCTCCGCCGGAAAGTAGGTAGTCCTAAGGGTGCTGCCTGAAGAGTCGGACCAGGATTACGGGCTGCCATCTGGACAGCTTGGAAGGAGTAAACACTCCTACTGCAGAACGCGATTCGCGAGATCATGTAGTCTCGATCGGGAGCCCGCTTGACTGAGACTTCCGCACTGAACGCATGTGACTCCCGAACACGACTTTTTGGGGAGTAAAACCGTTCACGTGTGCTATGTATTATTTCACCAAGTGAACTTTTGAGAAGGCCAACAGCCACTTTGCCGAGAGAGGACAAGTTATGTCACCGCGCCACGAAATTCACAATTCCGCGCCTACGTTGAGTGCTGCGATTGAGGCACTCCATCGATAAGGCGGTAAGCTGTTTCGTAACACTGATTGTGTTTAGTGCCGTTTATCTCCTAGATTGTCAGTTTGCCAAGTTTTTCAAATATGCTCAGTCTCAGTAGACAAGTTTTGGCTGCCTCTGCCCGCGTGCAGACTACTCTCCCTTCGGTGGTTGCTCTCCAAGCCTGCCGACGTTTGGTGGACAACCCTGGATCCATCGTAGTGCCACAGGATGGCACGCTCAGTAGAAGTATCAGTGGTTTCAGGTCGACCGGTCTCCGAGTTCTCCTCTGCAGACTATGAGGCAAGCGTTGTTGGTTTCTGGTCAGTTCAAACCGAAGGATGCTAATGAGACTCGTGAGTTCGAGATCATCTTTACTCGGTTGAGTTCCGTGTGTCTAAGGTTCGTTTGTCGCCGATTTGATCGAGGTTGAGGATATGCTCACTTTCGCTGGGATGAAGACTTTCGTAAGAGTAGCCGCCGTTTCCTATAGTTACTCTCGTTCATCTCAGATGCCTCCGCAATCACAGAAGCTGTTGAAGCTGACCAGAGTGGAAGCTTATAAGTATCGTGATAGCCGCAGGGAAAATCAGATAGTTCAAGTAAGTATAGTTGACTCCTTTTCTGGCTGTCAGATAGTGGTTCCTGTTTTCAGACACTTAAATCTTTCGGTATGTTTGCTGATGTGGTCTACACCTCTCCTAGACTTACTCATATCAAAGTGGAGTGGATGAAGGGAGCTTTCATCATACCTCATGAGGGTTGTGATGTGAGACGTGTGAATATCGGCATTGATCAGCAGTCTTCTATGCTTAGGAGGAGAGTCTTCAACGTTACGCTAGGCGGGTCGCGGAGACCGAGGTCTGCAAGGTTGCCATTCTGGACAAATGGGGTGGGCAAATGCGTATATTCTATCGATTTAACCTTCTTTGTTAGATACTGCTATCAACCAGAGGCATTACCTGAAGAACGCCCTTGTCGCCTTGCAAAAAGCAGGCCCGGTGAAGAGACCTGAGAGAATTCGACAGTCACTCTAAATAGGGATGCACGTCTGAGTGTTTTTAATGGTTTCATGTGGTGTAGAGTTTATTTGAGTTTTCACCTATTAGTAGTGATTTGATTGAGATGGGGGTGTGAATGTTCGGTTTTCATGGGTATGGTAGAGTTGAGCTGTGGCAGTTCAAATAGTATGATGTCAATATTATTACTTTACGAGTTTCTTTGAGACTCATCGAGAGGCTGTTCTTTGGTCATGTTCATTATACTCTATTCGGGAAGGTTTGTGGGAATGAATGGTCTAAGGAGTTAGATCTCTGATTGCACTGTAAGCATTTATGTCGCAGATCTCATGGGTTTAGGCGGGTTGTGAAATTGTGATGGTTGGTGGCTCCGCGAGTAGAGATGGTAAGATTGTTGTTAATGGGGTTAATGCTTGACGTCGTAACTTACAGTGGCTGTTCATCATGTTTAGTATTCTATCTAAGGAAGCTGTGTTGTGTAGAAGTGTGGAGTGAATCGGATAGTTACCATCCTATGCACCCTGATGGCCGATAATAAGACTAGACCAAGGGATCCACTACGAAGCCCTACACCATCTTCTTACTCGCCATCACCTAAGCATCCTAGAGAGGCCTCGCCTTTTGTTAATAAGGGAGATGAGGAGGAGGAGAATGAGGCCGTCTGGGGGAACTACTACTCGACGTCAGTGATGGACGAGAGGATGGTTTCTGATATAAGGCAAGAGTCATTGAGCTACGACGACTGTCTAGAGGGGTATTTACCTTCACCGATCACTGAGATATCGGGGGTGGGCCTGGAGTGTGTCGCGAGAGCGGTGGAGGAGGTGGAGGTCACTCAGGAGAGTAGCCGTTTTACGGAGGCTAGTGGGGTTGACGAGGCTGACTATGATGTTGGCGTTGTCAGTGATATAGGGGAGAAAGCCTTGGAGGTCCAGTCTGCCTTGGAGGAGGGTGATGGTGAGGAGGAGGGGGGAGAGGGTAGTCCAGGGGCAGCCGAGGTGGTGGATGAGGATGGGGATGATGATGATGAATTCACAGAAGTCGGCATGGGAGCCGCTGGGGATGATGATGATCATGATGGGAATGCCCCTGAGGGTTACGAGATCGAGGAGGAGGTGGTGGAGGATGGAGGAGGAGGATGCAAGGCAGGTGGTGGAGACGTCTGTGGTGGGAGGTGATCAAGGTGAGCAGCAGCAGTATGGTGTGGAGGAAGAGGATGCTACTGCTGCTACTGCTGCAGCTGCTGCTTCCGATAGTATTGCTACGCATGCCCAGGACGGAGCAAACATCGAACGTAGGGCAATGTTCCGTCTAGTGTTTTGTGGTAGTTTGTTCGTCTGTAGTGGTCGATGAGCTGATCGCACCAGAGGCCCCTTTCCCAAGCAACCCTGCAGAGGCCCGATTGCTACTACAGAAACTCACTGAGGCTGAGAGTGGCCTGTGTGGTAAGTCGAGGCCTCTCTGTGTGGTCATTATCACTCCGTAACAGTATCCACGGCCTTCCTTCAATCCTTCATCGACCAGTTCATCACTACACTCCCTCGTGAGATCTGCTCCTCCATAGTGGAAGTGAAGACATATAAGAATGTACAGGAGATGACCATGGTGTGTGCTACCTATCATCACTCTCCCTCCCATGCGGCTTGGGTAGGTTATCAGACATACGCTCAGACAGTTGCACAAGAGGAAGGAGGCCATACCGGCTACCTTTGATGTCCTTAAGGCTGAGGTCGAACTCTCTGATGAGTTGAGGAGGATGTGCACCTTTATCCACACTGGTAAGTTGAGTCCAATGGGAATGCTCAGTGACCCACGTCGCTCAGATGATGGATCGGAGGAGCTCACTCTGGAGCATTGGAATAGGTTCAGACCCCTGTCCATACCCTCAGTGTGTAGGAATCTGGCTAAGTCAGGACGCTTGCGGAAGCTGATCCAGGTAGGGGTATATGCATCGCTCCGCTAGATGATAGTAGTACCAGGTCACTTGCCGTCATGTTCGAGAGCTGTCGAGAGAGCAGTGGGTGGATCTGTGTATGGTCCTCAACATCAACGAGAGCAACTTTGAAGGTATGTACCAGCGTATAGAGCCGCACTGTATCATCGTTGTTGTGGTCAGAGGTGGTGGAGGCCCTGGTCCCATGGGTGAAGCATTTCGTAGTGCCATACGTGAGTAATCTGAGTGGTGGCTTGGGCACAGTGGCAGCTATTGTCGAGCATGTGAAGTCCCTAGTAGAGTGGGCTACCTCCGTTGCTCTCCAGCATGCCGTGGACTCCACGGTGAGTCGGTTACAGCCAGGAATGGCTTGGACTTGAGCACACCTTCAGGCCGGATATGCGTTCGCTGTGGACCTCTTGAAAGGTGTCATAGCCGCGGTCAAGAGAGCAATAGCTGTGCCCGATGCTGAGGTCCCCCTGAGTCGGACTCCCCTGCATTGGGTAAGTCCGGCGCCGCCCATGTGAGATGAATTTCCCGTTAGGCGGCCCTTGGGCACCTCAGAGGGCTCATGGACAAATGCACATTCTTGGAGGAAGCGGAAACGCTGTTGAAACGCCTTCACTTGTGTCTAGAAGTTCGACAGTCTTTTGGGATCCCGGTGGGACCTTCCGGTGTACCCTCCGCCCCTGCCGATGGGCCTTCTTTAGGTCAACTTATCGGACATTCCAGATGATGCAAAGTTGAGGAGGGAGTGGTTCGGCCGCGCAGGCTTGGCCCTTCTGAAACGAGTTCCTACCGATAAGATCCGGTGAGCATGCAAAGCAGTTCTTATTGCTCTTATGTGGTTTTCATCAGGTCTATTGTGGAGGACTCTTTGTATCCTCTGGGTCAGCGTATGGACCTCGACTACCCAGTTGAAGAAGCTGTCACTAACATTCTGGCGAGGTATGCCTATATGGGAGCTTGCGAATTGAAGGTTGTTCTTTGAAGTTATGCGGCGCATGATCTGGCTGAAGACTCTGTGGATCAAACAACTCCTTCCGACTTTGCTAGAGTGATGGCAGTATTCGTGTGCATGCGTACAGACTCTAGCCGAGCTCGGTGAGTCCAGTATGTGGGTAGTGACTTGTGTATTGTCGCATCGGGCAGGATACTGCCGCATTTGGTATGGATAGCAGTGAGATGTGCTACCTCGGGAGAAGGCAGTTCGGATGAGCTAGAGGAGGCCGAACGCATGTGAGTCGTGGCCCCTGGGACTTCCTAGTTCCCTCGGACGGACGTTTTTACGCACAACGATAATCGTCCATTGAGGACTATTGGACGTTAGATGTGAAGAAGCGGAGAGTTGGGACCTGGAGGCAGAGGATAGGGCCGGGGTAGCTGCCAACAAGATGAGGATACTCCTCCACAAGGAGGCCAGACCGTGAGCCACTGCACTTGGGCACTTGTGATGGTATTATCCAGCCATCTGCCGTATGACTCCACTACGACTTATCCGGATGCCCTCGATGCCATGTTGCCCACGCCCCAGGTGGTCTTCCTAACGGTGACCCATCTAGTAGGCTAGGGTGCTCGAGAGGAGGGGATATTATCATTATCATTAGGCCACACGTCTCGACGACGACGATGCTTTCCGTGCTGCACTACGCATTGCTGATGAGTGCCGTAGAGCCAGGGAGGATGAGGACGGGCCACGCGACAAGGTAGTCCTGGAAATGCCTCTGAGCAGTACTTGTCCGTTTTCAGTTATTGGCTCGCTTTGGTAAATGCATATGCCCCTCGGAAGTATTGTGTACCCGCTTCGTATCTGTATTTGAGCACAGTCTGGGCCCGGGCCCTACTGAGGGGGACGTGTTGGAGGGCATCACGAGGGCCTCTGCCGTCTTCCGAGAGGTGAGCACTACGTCAGGTCTGCAGCAATGCCGCTGTGGCAATGTCAGACACTCCCGTTCGAGTCACAGCTCTCGGGCCTTCGGTCGTTCATAACCCTACTCTGGACTCGTTGTGGCGCTTCGTCCCTACACCGGCTACCCCTCTACTGCCAGACCGGGATTATGGCCGCTAAGATTGCTCTAACAGAAGGGTCAGCTACTTGTGAGCTATATGCACTGTACTGTCTGCTGCTCCTCAGGTCGGACACTATCATACAAGAGCGTGGACGATGCTTCCGCCGATCTCTGTGTTTGATCGAGGAGTTCGGCTTGGAGGTACTTGGCAGCAGCCGTGTGGGAGTTTGTGTATGTGCCGATTTGATATGCAAATATGTGTGTTATTCTTGAGGATGGATGATAGTGAACAAGTAGTCGCTATCATCACAGTCCCAAACGGGTACTCTCATCACAACACATGTTCATAGCCATCGTTACTTGGTATATGCGATATAGTTCCAATCGATTATCACTAATCACGGAGAATAGCACACACTTGCATATGAAATTGACGGCCACTGTATGTGCACATGGTCAACTACATGCGTTGGTGCCAAAATGAAAATTCTGAGAATTTAGTTTGCTGATTTTTACCAAAATCATATGTGGATTTCATAATATGGTGAGGGAACTGAGAACATATTCCAACACTGCTCAGCAGAAGGCTAGTGGTGTGTTAGGTCCTGCCGAGGGACCTTTGGTACTCTATCTCCTCCTCGTCCGCGGGGACGGGGGAGTCGGACGATCACGAGGAGGAGGAGGTCGGTGCGTGGGCTCCAGCGGGAGAACGTGCCAGGATGAAGTTGCAGAAACTGTGAGGAGAGTCGTGACCTGCTCGTCGTTGTATTTCCCCTCCCTATGTCAGTTTCCGAGATGCTGTTATTGGTCCTTCGACGGCGAACTGTCGGCCTACCCGCCTGTCGGAGCTCCTCGGCATTCCTCGTCGTACGGCCTCTTATATTATGGCCTCTGCCAGGTGAGGACCAGTATGTCCATCTCGCCAACATCATGGATCAGGGCGAGCGAGACTGTGCCGGCCTCCCCTACAGCTGAGGAGGGGTCGGTGGGCAGCAACGTACTCTTGGATGGGTCTGCTCGATCGTGCCAGAGGGCCCTGGAGTACATCCGGAAGCAGCTTGAGGAGCATCTACTGGGTATGGTGGGACATGATAGCTTCTCACATGTGGAGCGGCCGTCGGTGGAGAAGCTGTCGGCCTTGACAAAACTGGCGGCGAGGTTGACAGCGGTATGTGATACTAAGATGATGGTGAATGAGGATATTCTTGGCACTGTCCGGAGGCTCCAGTTGGCGACTAGATTGGTGGCCGCTTCGGACGCTGTTAGTGAAGAGAAGCCCTTGGCGGGCTATAAGGTAGCTTAGTGGTGACACTATGAGGGGATTTACTCGTGCTTGATAGTCGCTGCTTTATTCTGTGCTAAAGTGGTGTTCATCGCCGTCGTCCTTGATGCCTGCGGTGGAGACCTTCCGTGCGGCCGTTGAAGTAGCGTGTGGGGCTGATTTGGATGCTGATGATGAGGAAGACGACGACGACGAGGAGGAAGAGGAGTAGTACTTGCTTTGCTTACAGGGTCATCTATCTCTTATTGGTAGTTTCTTTTCGGATATCTTGGCCTCGCAGAACTGGTCGATCGCGGCGGAGGTGGCCTCCTGTAGGCGGCTGGATGTCCTTGCCGAGTGGCTACGTCGCATAACCAGTAGTGGCTATTTCGAATGTTTGGAGTGGTAGTGGTAAGCTCGTAGATACTGGAGAGGAGGAGGATGCGTTGCTCATGCTAATGCTGGGCCTGTCCCTTCCTCAAGCTGTCTCTGAGGACACCTTCGACAAGGCTATCATAGAGAAGAGGGCGTCAGGCCAGGTGGGACCAGGAGATCATTTTGGATTTTCCACAGGGCTAGGAACATGCTCTTCGAATAAATTCCTATGTAAAGATGACATTGAGGATATTTTTCTCATCATTGTTATCACACTCTAGGGAACATCATCTCTCAAAGCTAAATGGGTCCCTGGGCAGGACCAGTGTCATTGACCAGCCCTTAGGCGTCGCTGTCTAGCTTCTTGGCGGGCACGGCGAGCTGGCTCCCCCTCCTGCGAGAGTTCCTACCAGCAGACGCCCTTGAGCAAGAGGTGTCTCGTCTACAGCTAGCAGACACTTGTACAGACCTCACCGTGGCTGACGCGACGCTCGCTGAACAGCCTATGGGGGGAGCTATTGTGAAGGCCTTCGAGGACAACGCTTATACGTGAGTCCATGTTCAATGCATGGATAAACGTTGTAATTTAGGTTGTTCGCGAAGAAGTGCTTGCAGGACCGATGGGCTATATACTGTTCTGAGCTCTCTGTTGAGGTCGACCCGGTTTGCTTGGGAGAGGGCAAGGCGGAGTACCTATGGCCTCTCATGGCCAAACTCACTGCGGCTGGTGCTGAGCTGGCATCTATACAAATCTTGGCGAAGGACTTCCAACTCCCACAGTGGGAGGCGTCTCTGTTGTGGTGTAGTACGGTGATACAGGAGCATCAGGGCGAGGATAGGATGGACCGGGCATGGGCTGAGATGGATGAGCTCATTGGACACTATCGGACCGAGACACTCCGCGTTATTGAATGCGAGATCCTCGGTGTTGTGCAGGACCTGTCCCTCATCGAGAAGGCCTTGGCTAGACTACCTGAGGGGCCTTTTTCGGCTCATAGGTTTGCTGCTAAAGCGATACGGGACTATGAGGCCAAGACGGGTACTGTTGGTAACCTTACATTGAGGAAGATGGTTGAGGACCCTCAGTGTGCTCTTATGGCTGAGCTCATGGACCGTAGCCTCACTACGGTGGAAGCTATCCTGGAGGTGATAGGCCCGGAGTCGGCAGCAGGGTTCATATCAGATGCCAGCGAGTATATACTCCATCACTCAGAGAGGCAGAGTAATGGGGTGCTCACTGTGGTTCATGGCGTGGGGGAAGCCGATACGGACGGCTTCCTACGTGTAGAGAATCGACTAAGTACTGAGCCTGACTACTGGACAGTGGCTATCAGCGAACAGCTACTCCCCCTCATTGACAAGTTGAAGGATATAATGCCCACTCGGGCGAGCGAGATTCTCAAGGTGTTTAGTGATATGCTCCCGGTGTGTGTGGATAAGCTGAGAGCATGGCAGAGGTTGAAGGCCCTCGAAAAGAAAGGGGCACCACGGCACAGATCAAGCGCTGAGATCAACGCTCTAGAGACCAGAGTGAGCGAGCCACATATGGGGAGACCTATCGTCCTTCATGTTCGCCAGATTCTACTCAGAGGATACCCGAAGTATGCGCCTTTCGAGCCGATACTGGTGGAGCTAGGCCCTTGGGCTTGCGCAGAGGCCATCGGTTATACTGGCCTTGTTGAGGAAGGGACTGCTGATGAAGCTTATGAGGTAGTGCAGCGTACTAGCAGTGGGGTCGTGGGCATCTCTGTGTAGCTGCTTACGGAGGTCCTGGCGCTGAATCGTGTCAAGTTGGGTGTCACCATGCGGGAGCTGGCCGATAAGTGGGTGAAGACCCCTGGGAGGCAGGAGCCGTGGATGAAGATAGTGAAGCTCCAACGGTAGGGGTGGCTGGTGTTGTTGTTGTGAATGGCATGGCTTGAATGTTAGAGAGAAAGCACCGAAGTGCGGAGTTGATATCTTCGACCGAG